AATTAATTTAATTTTAATTTATTTCCAGGATTTTCCAGGATTTATATCTTGCCTTTCTCCCACAATGGGATAATTTTAAATCCCCTTTGCCTATTTATAGCTAATTTCTTCCTATAGTTTGCATTAGCCTATTTTAAATTGATTCATTTAATTTTAATTCATTTCCAGGATTTTCCAGGATTTATATTTTGCCTTTCTCCCACAATGGGATACTTTTAATTCCTCAATGCCTATTTATAGCTAATTTCTTCCTATAGTTTGCACTAGCCTATTTTAAATTAATTAATTTAATTTTAATTTATTTCCAGGATTTTCCAGGATTTATATCCTGCCTTTCTCCCACAATGGGATAATTTTAAATCACCAATGCCTATTTATAGCTAATTTCTTCCTATAGTTTAACTTTAAACTATTTAAGCAAGCCTTTTAAAATCCTGCAGGCTTGGTTTCATTAGGGGATTGGGGGGGGTTAGTTTTAGATGATGATGATGATTTTAACTCTGTTTCAAAGTTTATATTTGTAATTTTTATATTTTTAATGGTTTTAATTGTACTATTTTAATTGTTGTTTTAATGTTTAATTATGGTTTTAATTGTACTATTTTAATTGTTGTAAGCCACCTTGGGTCCCACTTTGGGAGAAAGGCAGGATAAAAATAAAATAAATTATTATTATTATTATTATTATTATTATTATTATTATTATTATTATTATCCTCATTATTTTTAACTCTGTTTTAAATTTTATATTTGTAATTTTTATATTTTTTACGGTTTTAATTCTACTATTTTCATTGTTGTTTTAATGTGTTTTATATATGTTATAAGCCACCTTGGGTCCCACTTTGGGAGAAAGGTGGGATAAAAATAAAATAAAATAAAATAAAATAAACAACCAAAGTATGACCCTCAAACACCCTTGGTCCCATGGTTTATTGATTCCACAAGGGCCATTGTCTTAAAATATAATCCTCTTAAAAAATAAACATATTGTGAGTAAATTTTATTTATTTCAAAGGCTTACACCCTAATTTTCTGTACAAAGTATAACCAGAAAGAGGTTTTTTAAATTTTTGCTGTAAGGATTGTTACATCTTGATCCTTTGTTTGCATGTTATAATTTTCACTGGTCTTTATGCTGAATTGAATTTATCTAATGAATCAATAACCCGAATTAAGGCAATAGCTTTCATTATACCAACCCAAAGGCTGTAAAATACCTTTGGTTTTTATTTGATTACATTTTTCTGTTTGTGTGTCTGCATAGTATTTTTTTTTTTTACGATCTTATGGATTTTTAGATATGCAGAATGGCTTTTCCAAGGTGGAAGGGCAAGCTATTAATGTTTTAAATTCATAAAATATTAGAGGAGTGGTGCCTTTCTGGGAGAGGGTACAATAGTATGCTATAAATATATTAAATAGATTAATGCAATGACTCTTGCCACGAAAGTGCTATTTTTGGCAAAAGTAGTTGCAGGCCAAGAACGGACAGCTAAAAACTGGAAAAAAACCTTTTTGCATTGGTGGCTGAGATAGTGAGACCTTTGCTTTCGGATGGTTCGGTGTACACAGACTTTGTTTCGTGGGCAACATTAGTTAAAAAGTTGTATTAAATTGCCTTCGGACCATGTGCATAAGGTGTACATGAAACATGAATGAATTTTGTGTTGAGATTTTCTCATGTATCTCAAGAGGTATGTTATATGCAAATGCAGGCATTTCAAAATCCATAAATAAATAAATAAATAGATAATCAGAAATCCCAAACATCTTTGGATCCAAGCATTTTGGAAACGGGGTACTTTGCTTTTTAATTTGATGTGAGATGTCCCACGCTGGGAGAAAGACGAGACATAAATGAAATAAAATGAAATTTCAACCTCTCTTTTGCTCTTTCTGATATTTCTGACTCTTTGGCTCAACTCTTTCCAATGTCCTCCGTTCCCAAGGAAGGTACCTTACCAAACCCGTAAAGCATCCTGAAAGATAAATAGATTGCCATCTGATGCTCCCTTAATTCTTTATTTTAATAAACCTTTATTAACTTTGTGCAAACTTCTGTTATCGTTTAACTCTTCCAGCCATACTATTGGAATAGGCTCCTTTTCACTCTCTGCAAATGGAGCCATCCTGTAATTTGTTGTTGCTGTGCGCCTTCAATCCGTTTCTCTCTTATGGCAACCTTACGGTACCCCATCACAGACTTTTC